CACTGGGCACGGCTGGCGGGCGACTGAACGCAGTTGAAGGCTACTAGGATGCGTGCGTGCGCTTGGCGCATCGCAGACATCGGCTGGGTGCTGCCTCGCGCTATGTGCGCGACATGAACGTGACTGGCGCTGCTGGGCGCTACCGCGTGCCGCAGCAGGCGACTGGTTACACGGACGTGCGCGCTGGGGTGCGCGGTGAATTGCTGGCGTGCGCAGGCACTGCCAATAGACGACTGTTGCGGGCAGGGCTATGCGCGACGCCCCACGGGTATGCACGCACGCTGTCCGCCCACACTGGCTGACTGCCGGCATGCTGCTGCCGCTGTGTGCGAGCAGCGCAACCACGACCGGCCCTTGCCGGCCGTCCGGCGATTTCTCCCGACCATTTCAACATGAATCAACATGACATAACCTAACCTGACCATAACCACATAATCACATGAAATTGCACGAGAAAGACATTGACATGACTCGGAAAATGATTGTAGCGTGCGCGTAGGAGCGACCCGACGCTACGGCCGATATGTTCGGCCACTTGATGACTCTTCCAACCGTTTATCACATGAATCGACCTAACTGATTATAACATGAATAATTATACATAAAATAGTTGGGATAACATGAACATAACTCAAGCAATCAAAAGGGCCGTGCCTTCCGCTACGTGCGGTACCCGACGACTTTGGCCAACTCTCGACACAACGATGATTTTTCCTCGACAAACCTTACTTACTGAACATGAAATGGCACATATTGACTGAATAAACGAAAATTGCTCGAGAGTTTCAGAATTAAAACGAACATCTCTCGACATGGTTTCGTTTGTACACTTGAAGGAAATATAGCACGCTTATGGATTTAAATTCATGGATTGGACCTAACATGATTATCTTAACATGGAAAATAGAGGTAAGAAGAGATTACCTCTTCCGGTGCTCGATCGATTACACAACTCTCGTGAATGCTCAGCCCTTTGCTTCCGTGCGCGCGGTATAGCTCTCCGTGCGTTGCTTGCGAGAGTAATACGTAATCTCTCTTAACTATGGCTTAAAATGTTGTTTGAGTGTAGGATATTCTTCTTCCCAATACTTAATATATATATAACCGAAAGGATGATAATACTTGAAGAGAAATGTGATGACCAATGAGATTTTAGCAAGTGTCGTACATCTTTGCTTAATCATCCACCACTTTAATTAGTCACCACTTAAACCTTAAA